ATACTTTTCCCCTTGGCCATTTGATAATCTTCCTTTTGGTCTAATAACTGTGCTCCACTTCCATCGTCCACGACACTATTATCTACTTTATCAATGGAATCTTCGCCCTCATATTTTGACGTTATTGGTAAACACACATGCACTGGGACGCCGATGTATACGCAATCATAATCTGGAACCGACTGTGGAATATTTTCATTTGAATTGACGCTTCTGAGGAATATAAGATAGTAATATAATTAATTATTACCCCAACTGTTGTGTCCAATACAACTAGATTAGTATATGTATATATATGTTTCCATGTCTTTTTTGTGTTTAAGCAAAATAATGGACCTGTGCTAGAAGAACATGTTACGCCGACTTGATTTTGACTGTATTCTTTATGACTGTGAAACCGAAAATCTTGTGTTTGTTCAAACGAGTAGTAAGTACAGAAAACTGTATGATTCATACTTGTTAGCCAGTTTGATTCATTGGGAAACAAACATGTTCTTTTTCTATTATTATATTTTAGAGCTTTTGTCGTGTGTTTAACACTGAAGTCCAAAAATATCATGAAATGCATAACATCTCATTCTTGAATAAAATGAACGATGTGTATCAAACCTTGTATACAAATATTATATAGCACTGATAGTGTTCATAAAGAAAGTAATTTGATTAGATTTATTTAGAATATTATTAATTGTATGAAGTAAAACTTTGTTGATTTCAACACTGTAATCAATCACTATCCGATTCGCATTAATGGAGAAAACAAACATTGGATTCATGCATTAATGCTGTTACTTACATGTGAGAAATATCTTCATCTTCTGGAGTCTTAAATATCATGGAATGCTCTTTTTCAATATCACTGAGAACAAATGTTGTACTAGTATCTCTGGTATAATTACTCTGAGACGATTCGGAATGGTACGAATGCTTCATCCCAAGCTTTTCCAGAAGGCAACTTATTTGTCTGTCTTTCTGCAATATAAAGTATTATAGATGGTCCATTTCGTCGTTTGTCTCTTTTTAAAAAAGTAGACATAAACTAATATGTAACATAAGTATTTTCTGAACAGTATGCTTATATTAGACTGATAATTTGCGAATATTCTCACCTCTGACAGCTGCCTGGTCAACTTAACGTTTTCTGCTTTCAGGCATTTCATTCTTAGTGACAGATCTGCAGAGCTCGCACTGGGTGGAAGTCGTAAGCTACCTTTACTCGCATTACATCGTATTTTTCTTTCTTCTCCCTTAGGATCTCGTCTCAGCTCTAAAAGCTGTCATGGAATAAAAGGTATAGTGAATCGATGTATCTTACACTCAAGACATAAGACATTACTTACTAAAACAGCTTTCATTTATGTTTCTAAAAAAGTTTAGATATCATATTCATGTAACAAACAAACAAACAAACAGACAAGCATAACAGTCATATTCCATGTGCGTCAACTGAAGTGACAGTCGTCAGTTTGACGATGTGATACCGTAAGTCAGCAAAATGACGGAGAGATTGAGTGGCATTTGAAAACCAATATCTCAAAGCAAATGATTACTAGTGACCACGGAATTGACGTCCGTTTCTGAGTTATCACTTTCTCTTCCCTCTCTCCAGCATAGAATTTGTTGAATTGTTTGCATGTGTGCTTGACACCAATTCATATAGGTCAGCACTTTCAGCATCTTGACCAATTGATTTCATGAAATAGAAAATTACATGCATAACACACGTCCATACATGACATTTTCGTATTACCGAAGATTTTGTTGTACAGGAGCAATTCTCCCATAAATAAATAAATAACTATCTCGAAATATATCAAATCAGAATTATAGGTGCCTGAAAAACACATTATACACATTGTTTTGACAGTACTGTATGCCACATTGAAGGCTTACCACGACGGCAGATACTGATTATGGTTATCACTGTTAAACCCCAAAACTCGACACAGTAAGCATGTCATATTTAGGATGCCAAATGCCTTGCAATTGATAATACTGGCCCACTGTTCATTTCGCTGTTGTTGCGAATGACAGAAATGCGACTATCAATTACATTGTCAAGTTTCTGAAATAGCTGCATGATAAGCGATCTGTTTATCTCAATCGTATGTGGTATCAAATATTTTGATGATGCAGGTCCATACTGCCACAACACGCACTCAAAATGAAAGGTATTTTCCGTCAATTGTTCTTTTCAAGTCATTGATTTAATGTGAGTTTAATGTTTTTATTCAGTGGTGAAGCTGTTATATTGTAGCATGATCATCAGCTTCTGAAATTTGTTGAATCCGATAATTCAGTGTATGTTAGCATTACTGTAAAATATGACAAACATCTCTTCTGTTCTGCCTCTTTGCTTTATGTTTATGAAACACATATAAGAACGTTAATGTAAGTATGGCGAAATGTTCTCCCACATCCATTCATTCATTGCTGTGTATTGAATAGTCTGTTACACAACCATTTTATTTCCCGAGTTTTGATCGTTTTGATTGGGCAAGCGTGTGTTTTTAATTATGTATATCGCGGTTAAATAGATGATATGCCTGCTTAAAACTTGAGTCAACTAAAATCGGTAAAAATATTATTTTTCGCTACAGGCATCGGGCGTAATGAATAATATTGGACCCTTTGGGGATTTCGGGTTCAAAAGAGACGCATGGGAATTTTTGTTATTAAATTACGCCGTTAAGCAAATTATTGCCGTTAGCAGTGGCTCGTTTGGGGATCGCTCGTGAATCCGGAAGTTGTGTTGGTTCTGAAAATATGATCGGACATACAAATTTATTTGGCGTCTGTGTTTTTTTTTTTTTAATTTATGTTAAATGAGCTGATTTTACATTTATCAACGTTGCCACTAGCAAGAATTATATACTAGTTCCAGGGCCCGTTTCATTTAAGCACAATTGCAGGTACGTCGTTTTGAATGCTGAGCCATATATTAGTACGTGGTCGTTGTTACTTTAAAATTATTTTCCAATGTAATATATTAATATAATTACCCGCCGCCGCAGGTAGGTATACCACGAGATATTGCATAATTTGAACAATACGTGCATGCGCGTTCCGCAGCTGTGCAATATTTCGCGGTATACCCGTCTGAGACGGTGTTTTACTCTTAAACATGAGATTCGTTGTAAATATGATCACTTAATTTGTGATGACTGATGAATTCAATCAATTGTGCAGCTATAAAACTGTTTAATATAAACCATAATAATGTTGTGTTATCACACAATTAATTTTGAAGTAATATATACAGTAGCATTCACATATATGTTCACATCTCTGTTTTGTTTATTAAGTTTGGGAGATAATAAATAAATAATAATAATTTGCATTGCTTACATGTAATATGGATATGCCGTTTAATTAGATAATACATTGATTTGAAAAGTATTCAAAGACGGCGTAGTTTCTTTACAACACGAGCGAGATGGTATTTAACACGACAGACAAATCACACACTTTATTTTAGTTTATTTTACAACGTAATAATATCAGTAATGTTCCCAGCCAAGAATTATAAAAAAATGCAGTGAATACAGTACTGCAGTGAAAATACCGCGATTTTTGTCATTTTTTAAATTTTCTGCATGTTGTTAGATCAGAACAACTGTTTGCCCACTTCATTGTTGATTATCGTAGTCGTCTAGACTTATTTAGATCATTTCTTTTGAGTAAATATATCGGTACTGTAGACAAAGTATGCTGTTATTTGACAATACTTTGAAACAAAGGTATGCAGTTATTCTAATCTTACATCATCTACAGCAATCACAATTGCTAGGTTGGTTGCTATTACAGTGAAAATAAAGACAATGATGCGGTAAAGCATCATGGAATGAGAATATTCGTGTTATGTGTTACTTGTTTTGTATGTACTTGTCACAGAATGCATATGCGTATGATCGATATTTAGTACACACGTAGTAAATGAGAGCGATCATATCATCAGAGCCTACTATCTTAAAATACTGCTATGTGTAATTGATATGCAATGATTTAGTTTTCAGCATTTACAGTAACTGCTGCTAGCGTTATGCTGAATCG